TTTTTGCTGAGGAAGATTGGCCCTGGGCTAACATCCATGCCCATCTTCCTCCACTTTATATGGGACGCCGCCACAGCATGGCTTGACAAGCGGTGCCTCGGATCTGAACCTGCGAACCCCGGGCCGCAGAAGCAGAGCGCGTGCACTTAACCGCTGCACCACCACGCCAGCCCTGCCTTTTATGTTTTTAAGTGCATAAAGTAAAATATATAGGATAATAAAGGAAGCCTATTAATTTAAAAATAGTTATCAAACTTTTTTTTTTCAAATATGATGTAGTAATTTTATGTGTCTTTACTAATGTATTAAATAGCAGACCTTCCACTGGCTCCTAGCACCTCTGGAACTTTTGAAGTGGAGCACAGATGATATTTTGAAACTATCTGCAACAATGGGAATGTGAAAAGAAAAAAGTCTGTGACTTCTGTTGGTGATAGAGTCACAGCCTTGCAAATCCTGTTGAAGTTATTGCCCGCCTTCATGATGGAAGGAAAGGCTGGGTTTCAGTGAGGAGTGTGGAAATGAAGATGTAATTCTGTTTCCCGTCTGGGTTCATGGACTCTAGGTTAAGACCCTTGACCAAGGGCAGGTTTTGAGTTGAGGCTCTGTGCATTTCATCTCATTTGATCCCTAGAATTCTCCTTTAGGAGAAGTCGAGCATCGTCCCCTTTTACTGAGGAGGGAAATGAAATGACTTGCCCAAGGTTACGAAGCTAAGAGTGTGCAGCTGGGTTTGACTCCAGGTCCTCTGAACCCAACATCTGGATTCGTAACTACTTTGAAGCCCTCATTTTTCACCTCCTCCATCTGTGCTAAGAGGCAGACCAAGATAGACTTTAAAACAAAAAAAACTGTTACTAAAAATAAAGAGCGGCATTTTATAATGATGGATCAATCCACTAGGAAGATATAATAATTATAAACATATATGCACCTAAAAACAGCACCAAAATACATAAAGCAAAAACTGAGAGAAGGTAAAGGAAAAATAGACAATTCAACAATAATAGTTGTAGAGGTGGACCAAGGAGCAACAGAAAGGCAGGGAAAGAAGGCTTAAGCAGGTGCTAAACACCACTGGGCACCTCATTCCTCCCTCCTGCCCGCCAAAGTGAGTACCCCTAAATGCCTGGGCCTAGCATCACCCTTCATTGAACCACGGTGTCCTCGGCACCATTTACACTTTGGGCTGGCTCATGCTCTGTGGTGGAGGCCATCCTGTGCATTGTAGGGGGTTGAGTAGCATCCCTGGCCTCCACCCACTAGATGCCAGTAGCTGCCCCCTCTCCAGTTGCAACAACCAAAATGTCTCCAGATATTGCCAGATGCCTCCTTGGGGGAAAAATCACCCCAGATGCAAACCCCTGGTCCAGTGGTATATATCAGACACCCCAGTTAGCACAGCTGCTTCTGGAATAGGTGTCCAAGCCTCTTAGGCAATACATTTCGGGTAAATGAGAAGATTCTTCTAGAAATTTAACCATTATGTCTCCACATGAGTCTCTTTATTCTCTCTCCAGGAAGCCTATACTACAGAGCAAATTCCCCAGGGTATAGCATGTCTCCCAGAGGGCAAGTGGCTTGAGAAAGATTGAAAGCTCAGAGCCCTGAGGAGGAGAAAGGCTGGGGAGGGGAGCCCTCTGGAAGCCTCAAGCACAGCTCAGGGTCCTGGCTTGGGGGCATCAGGGCAGACAACCCACATTTGTCCAAAACATACCTTGCAGGTGAGATATGACCTCAATTCCTTCACGTTGGTTTTGCTCTGAATGTGCAGTGTGACCCTTGGCAAGACTGTGCCCTCTCTGAGCCTCAGTTTTCCCACCTGCAACTGATGATCATACACCCCAGGCTCAGTGTCCCTCTGGAGAAGACTCCAGGAGCAAAGAAGCTGCTTCCTTGGGAATTTAGCCGAGAAGAACAGGGAGCTGGGGGTGGCAGGCTTGTTCAGAATCACCCTGTCCCATAGGCTCTGGTGTTGCCCTCATGTCCAACTTTGAACAGCTGCTCCGAGGGGTCTGGAAGCCGGAGACCAACCAGATCCTGCACATGTCCTTGTGAGTATCCCGTCCTCCCCCTCTGTCCCTCTTGTATGTACAGCTGCCCCCTGGGCCTGACCCTGGGTTGGATACTCCTGGTAACTTGGAAACCTCAGCCCCTGCTTCTGCCTTCCAGAAGCTTCCAGACGCCATGCGGGGGGGACTCCAGATGGGGAGCCACAGCTCTGCCTTGGGGGCAGGGGCAGGCAGAACTGCAGGGAAATGAGACACTTGATTTGGATTTTGAAGAGTGAGTAGGAGTTTTCTGGCAAAGGAGCCTCTGGACAGAGGCCAGCACCTCTGCCAACTGTCAAGTTAGAGAAGAGCAATGATTCTGCCCAGTTCTGCAGGGTCACGGTACAGAGTGTGGGTGGGGAGTGAGGGATACAGAGCGTGGGTTACAGAGCTTGGGTGGGGAGTGTGGCTGGGGGTAAGTTGGGAACTGTAGGCAGGGCCATGTGGCAGCATCCAGGACCCAACCCAAGACCTCACGCTGCATTTAGCCTAAGACATTTTTAAAAGATCTAACAGATTCAGGCTAGTTAAATTGTCTCCCAATCTACAGTAAATAAGGCTGTTGCAATTAAAATATGACAAAATTAAAATCACCCATATGCCAGTGAAAATTACCTCCTATTTAACACTTCGGAAAACACTGCTTTATCTCATTTCATCCCCATGAGAAGTCTGTTGCCGCCCTCTGTTCACTGACAGAGAAATGGGGTCCAGACAGCTGCATCCCTTGCTACAAAGTGGGCAAGTGGCTTCCCCTCCTCAGCTGAGTGTGAGGGCTCCATGCAGTCACACACACACACACACACCCTGGCCCTGGGACCTGGTGAGGGCTTTGGAAATATTAGGCAGAACTATCATCGTTAAGTACCTGCAATGAGCAACATCAGGAACAGAAGTCACGGGTCTGTCTTCTGCAACAAGTTAAACTTTTGGAAACCTATTCTTCAAGGAAGAAAATGAAAGTTAAGAAAAAACCATGTGTTTTAATCCCACCTTCTGGGGGAGTGCACTATTCAGGGGTCCCCAAGACCATCCTCAGTTTCGATGATTCACTAGAAGGACTCAAAGCCTTATACTCATGGTTACAGTTTATTACAGAGAAAGCATACAAACTGCGACTGGCAAGGGTCAAAGGTGTGTTGGGCAGCATCTAGGAGATACCGGGCGTGAGCTTCTGCGTATCCTCTCAGTGGAGCTGTGCGGACAGCACCTGTTTCTCCAGCACCCCTGTGTGACGGCATGCAGTGACCATTGCCAATCAGTAGAGCTCCCCCGAGCCCTGGTGTCCAGGGTTTTTATTAGGGCTTGGTCACACAGACATAGGTGACCGCCTGTGTGGCTGACCTTAGTCTCCAGCCCCTCCAGAGGTCGCACTGAAACCACGTGGCCCAGGACCCCACCCTAAGTCACACTGTTACTACCTGGTGTGACCCAAAGCTCCCAAGCAAACAAATGCACTCGTGTCAAGCAGGACGGTCTCAGGCTCAGAGGGCTCCTCTCAGGAGCCGGGCAAAGGCAGACCTCTCTTTGGGCCAAGTTAACACTTGACTGCCCAGGGAGACACTACCTCATCCTGCCTCACACTCAGGAGAAGCCGGGATGGGAGCTGGGGCTGCCGGGGGTGGGCAGAGCAGAAGTTCTGGGCTGGAGGCACAAAGGCCTGAGCCGTGCGGTGCCCCCTCCAGCCCCACCAAGGCCAGCCTGTATGGAGCCGTACTCTTCACCCTGCAGCAGACCCGCTGGCTCCCGGTGTCCAAAGCCAGCCTCATCTTCATCTTCACCTTGTTCATGGTCTCCTGTAAGGTAAGCCTTCCTGTCTGACCGATGCCGACCCACACCTCCTGGTGGGGGCCTGGGCTCCTGGCCGTGTGTGTCCCAGAAAGCACAGCCCTAAGTGGGGGGTTGGGGGAGCCTGCACGTGGGATGGGGGTCTGAGAAGAGCAGTGTCCAGCAAGTGGGAACAGGGATGAGAGGAACAAGGTCTTCCGGGCAGAGGGCCCAGCCTGGGCAAAGGCTGAGAGAGCAGCTGCAGTGTGCGGAGTCGGGGGAATCAGGGCTGAGGGACAAGACACAGGGAAGACACCTTCAGGACGCCAGGGGCTCAGGCTGGACCAGGATTGGTGCTGGTGTGACCATCTGGCCTTGAGTTGTCACCCCACCCAGGAGGGGTCTTTAGGGGCTGTGCTCTCCTCCCTTCCCACGGAGCTGGGGAGCTCTGCTGCTGGCTTCCTGGGAGGGGACCATGGCCATTGAAAGGGAGTGAGTGACTGGGCCAAGTACAGCTCCTCTCTGAGCCCAGGTGTGGGGGGACTCTAGGGGGAGGGTGACCCACCATCCTGGTGTGCCCAGCACTGTCTGGGTTTTAGTAGCAAAAGTCCCGCATCCTGGGAAACCCGGGACAGTTGGTCACCCTCCTGGGGGTGCGCGCAGCCCGAGGGCTGAGTCTGGGCACCTGAGCTTGGCCTGGCTGACCTCTCTCTCCTCTTGCCCCCAACCCCCACCCCCCATTTTGCTTTACACCTCCATCTCTCTCTGGCTGTCTCGCTGTCTCCCCATCCCCCTGCCACCTCTCCGCAGGTGCTCCTGACAGCCACTCACTCCCACAGCTCCCCCTTTGATGTTCTGGAGGGCTATGTCTGCCCTGTGCTGTTTGGGATGACCTGGGGGGGCGACCATCACCATGACAACCACGGAGGATCCCTCAGCTCGGCCCTGCCCGCCAAGTCCAAAGAGGAGCTGAGCGAGGGCTCCAAGAAGAAGAAGACCAAGAAGACGGATTAGGAGGTGGCCTGGGGGGGCCCACAGGGCGCCGGAGAGAGGACCTGGACCCAGGACCTTCAGAGCTGGAATGGGAGTATCCTGGGCTCAACTCTCCCCTCTCTGGGCCTCGACTTCCCTGTCTGCAAACTGGGCCATCACCCCACCCTCCAGGGCTGATGTGGGCGGTTACGTGAGATACGGGGGTGCAGGGTGTTTGTAGGAATGGGAGAGTTCTTCTCTTTCCTGGGTGGGCCCCCGTAGTGTCACAGCTTTTCAGGGGGGCCCACAGAAACCCAGCAGCTCCAGCCAGAAACCCTGGCATTTATATCTTGGTTATATTATTTCCTCTCTGAAATTACGTCTTGACTCTGAAAGAATTTCAAGCCACGTGGAGACTCATTCATTTGACAGACATTTCCTAAGTGTCTGCCCTCCTCTATACACAAGGGCTAATGTGAGGCTGGACACGGACCAGCCTGATGAGCTCATAGGCACTGTGCCGTCAGGAGGGGAGCCTTGATGGATGCTCATTGTGCTTAAAAATGGCTTTGCATTTTAGATCATTTGTGTGTGTGGATCAGAGAACCCCACAAATTACCTGGCACAAAGGAAGCCTTCAGTAGACATGTTTAGGCCAGACCTGAGAGCTTGGAGAGTGGGGAAGGCTTCTGATCTTTGGCTTCAGGCTGCCCCTAAACCAAAGAACTGCAGCTGGCTGCAGAGACTCCAAGATCCAGCTCTGTCCAGGGGCTCTGAGCACTTGCTGTTGGGCCCTGGAAGCATGACGCCTCTCTTGTGCTGACATCCCTCATCGCCACTTATTCAGTCATTCAACAAGCATACTGATGCCCACTCAGTGCTGAGCCTTGTGCTGCTGCTGGGTGGGCAAACTTCCTTCAGGGTTAGTGAGGGAGATGGTAGCTGAGGGTCTCTCCCAGCCACCTTCATCTCAGCCTAGGTCAGCAGGATGTCTGAGAGGGGTGGGAGGTTAGGCATGGCCTGTCTTGGGCTTGGGGCTGTGCTCAGGGCATCAGCCTACAGCTGCATGGAGGTCGGCCTGGGGTTGGCAGGGGTCCCAGCTGTTGCACAGCTGTTGGGAAAGTGCCTTGATCCTCTGATACTTGGGAGGTGGGTGCCTCCTGAGCCTTAATGCTCCCAAATTCATCCTCTTGCATGTCCATCGAGGCTGGGTGTGAAGGTTCAGCAAATAAATCTGTTGTGAAAGAAGCTTCGTGGCTTGTCTGATTCATTCCTGTTCTCTCGGCCTCAGGACACATGAGTCATGGCAGCCCCTGATTGCCGAGAGGAGATGGTGGCTGTGAGTGAAGTCTGGGGTTTGGAGTTAAGCAGACCTGGGTTCAAATCCTCACTCTGCCACCAACGGGTCATGGGGCCTCCCCTTCTCCACGCCTCTTTGCTTCTTGGGAAAAAGGTGGTGATTGTCCGTACCCTTCAAAGGCAGGAGGGTTAATGCAGTGCTTGGGATTTGCAGCTACGAGTCTGCGGGGCACTGCTAAGAGAATGCAAGTCAAGCCACAGACGGGGAGAGAATCTTTGAAAAATCACACAGCTGATAAAGGGATTGTATCCTCACTGTAAAGAATCCTCAAAACTCAATAATAAGAAAACAAACAGCCTAATTCTAAAATGAGCACAGGATTTGAATGGAAACTTTGCCATAGAGAAGATAGAAATAAGCACATGGATTAAATATATGCAGTCTTGGAGGGAAGTCAAGATGGCGGCGTAAGCAGACTCTGAACTCACCTCCTCCCGTGGACACAGCCAATTTACAACTACTCGTGGAAAATTACCCCTGAGACAGAACTGAAAACTGGATAAGAGGAACTCCTGCAACAATGGATAATCCTAACTGAGGTGGAAGAGGCAGAGACTCCCTT